AGCAGTATGTCAAATTTGTCAAAAAAAAAAAAAAAAAAAGCGAAAAAAAAAAAAAAAAAAAAACCCCTCTCCCCCAAAAAAAAAAAAAAAAAAAAAAAAATTTTTTTTTTTTTTTTTTTTTTTTTTTTTTTTTGACTTGATGATGGAAAAAAGAACCGCACTGATGCTCCCCAGAATGGATATGGCGCCAGAACCTTAATGTTTTTAAAAAGAAAAAGAAAAAAAAAGAAAGAAAGAAAAGAGACAAACTGGCCTGCCCTCTAAGAGATATAAGAGAGGCTGAGGCATTAATCGCAATACTTCGCTGCTACAAAGATAACATACGTCAAGCACCAAAATACTACCCAGACAGGGGGGGGGGGGGCACAAGCGCAAATACCTCCCCTGCCACCAGGGGCATCCGTCAAAAAAGTTTTCAAACGAGTTGAAAGTTGAAACACTTTTCTGCTTTTCTGTTTATATGTATGTATATAAACTTTAAAAGGCACAGCTACTGGTAGTAGGGCTTGAAAATAAATACCCAAATACGTCCCCGGCCAAAAACAATAGGGGCACGGGAGCCCAAATACCTCCCTTGCCACTAAAGACATCCGTCAAAATTGCCAAAATACGAGGGGCACAAGCCCAAATACAAGAGGCAGTTCTGCTGCTGCAGTTCATTTTCCTTCTTAAACTTTTAAAGTTTAAACTTTCAAAATGTTTCAACGCAAAATTACGGCCAGACAATACGTGCACCTACCCTCCAGCAAATTCCAGATGCACCGCAGGAAAAACTGCTGCGAAAAAAAAATAATTCATTCCGAATCATTTGTTCATTTCAAATGTATTTCCCATGCAAATGGGCATTCATTCATTCATCCATGCGAATTATCAATGCTACCCACTCCTTCCTGGCATTTGAGCCAGCCATTTTGAAATGAAATATGATTCGTCAATGCTAGTTGGCCTTCATCTGGACTTTTCCCTACGTTAAGGGAAAGTGCAGATGAACCTGGTCGTTATGCAATGGCCTCAGATGTTTGCGCGCGCTCCTTTCCCTTGTCGACCGACGCCAGTTGCAGCCCACCGACGGAGAGGGCAGATGCACTTCTGTGCCCTTTGCCATTGTCAAATGATCTATCAGCCGGGGCCCACCAATTTGAAAGCAGAGCAGAGCGCTGACGCATCTGGCCACAATACCTCACGGGGTTGTTGAACCACCAGAAAAATACAAACAAATCAATCACATCCTGCGAAAATCTACACGCTTCCCAACTCCATCCCCTATTTTCCAGCTTCTTCCTTCATCCACAATCTGCAAATACTTGCAAAAATCATAACACTTCCCACTCTCTGGAAGTGAACGATATGCACCTATACTCGTATAGTTGAGATGAGCGAAAGAGTTTTAACTTTGTATAAGAGACAGAGCACACCCTAGGCAGCACAAACACAAAACCAGA